CGCACTCTTTTTTTTTCTTTTGCATTGGTAATAATGATAATATTCTTTATTGGTAAACCATACAAGACACGAAATTAAATAACGAGACACGAAAAAAAAACATGATAGATACAACATACACAATATATGCGGCTTTAATGCTAGCCAGCAATCTCTTCCAGGCAACCCATAATATATGTTGTGTAGTTTAAAGCGTTTACGGATACAGACAGCAGGAGTGACTTGGTTTAATATGTTATATGTTAAGATGTATATATCCATAGACTTTCCCTTGGACAGAAGAGGGGGGGGGGGGGGGGGGGGGGGCTTGATGACTTATTAATTAATATTTGCATTTGAATTATAGCTTATTGATTGTAAGTAGTAATATCATACAGATATTATTATGTATTAAATAAATACATAATTAATAGACTATCATAAAAGAGGAAAGATACTTCTGTATTAAATCTATTGTTCAAAATTCATAGAAATAAGTTCAAAAATATCAAAAATGCACACAACTCACACATATCAGTACACACAATAACAAATTATTAGAACTGCACATGACAAAACGACAAGTTGTCTTTGGGCTAAACTGTACTTCCTGGGCCCAAGTGGTGATACTTCACACTAAGTTATGGTCACAACACTAACCTAGGCTAGGTTAGTGTTGTGACCATAACGCATCAGCCGAGTCGCAATGGCCAGCGAAGCTCCAAAAAAAAATTAAAAGAGACCTTTTCTACAATAAAAAAAACAATTATCACCTCTTGGGCCCTGGAAGAACAGGTTTAACTGTCTTTGTTTTATCCAGTTCATGAAATAACTAAATATAATGTTCAAATTGCATCTACATTACATCTTTAACTAGTTACTCTAAATTGGGTGAACTTATGAGTTAGTAATACAATGGTGTCGATTCTGGCACGTTTCTCTAAACCCTAAGTTGCATTTGACAACAATGTATCCTTGTCACTCTCTATACAAAGTGAAAAGAAGATACTGAAGTTAGATTTAGTTTTAAGTTTACAGAATCATGTCAGAATTGTCAACAATATTAAGTATGTAAAAAACAAACTAACCTCAAAAGCAGGCAGTTAAGATGCACTCAGGAACACTGGGTTATGGCAGGCGGGCATCAAAAGTCCTGTGGAAAACCACCATATATTTTTTAAGTTCATAAAAAAATTTAAGCTACACCAATAAAATTAATTTGCATATTATTATTAATCTCTTATCGTTATTACACACAGTCAAGGATACTACCATTGGATAAATGCCAAAAATGTGCTGCAGTGGACAAGCAAAACCGAAAATCTGTATGCAACTTTTATAACAATATTTATTGATATAAGTACTAAAATAAAAAATTACCATGCATTATGCAAAGCACAACAGGAATGTTAAAAACGATACATACAAATCAGTACAGACTTAACTACAGCACTTACGAATGTTCCTCCTCTAAGAGGCATTTCACTCACTCACTAATAGATAATATCCACAACACCAAAACAGTTTAAATACTCTGAAATATGAAATGAAACTCTTTTCATGAACAACATTAATTTTCCCTGAAAAAACGGAGACTGGCAATCGAAATTCTAGAACAATCACAATTTTGTCAATTTTCACAGATGTCATCCATTCGAGGTTTTTTTCTTTTCTTTTTAAGTTCTTCCTATTCTGGGAAGGCAAGGGGAAAAATGTCCATACAGTCTTTTTTTTCCCTACTCTATGATCCATATTTGCTTTTTTTTATTTACTAACTTGAAGGCAGAAGGGTTCTTTTAACAACCATTATTAAGGCAGATTCATACTTATGTTACGTGTTGTGACCAACGATATTTAATACCCTAGATACAATGGTTGTACGGTATTTTGCTGTGGGGAAATGCGGCCACATTTAAACTATTCTTGTACTGCAAAAACGGACTGTGGGATCAATTTACAATCATAAGACTAGATACTCTTAAAGAGAAATCGATATAACGAATGTTCCTTTTCAATACATTTATTAAAATTTTATGTATATCAAAAAACATATGTTATGTTTGAATAGGTTAGTATAGTATAGTATAGTATAGTATAGTATAGTATAGTATAGTATAGTATAGTATAGTATAGTATAGTATAGTATAGTATAGTATAGTATAGTATAGTATAGTATAGTATAGTATAGTATAGTATAGTATAGTATAGTATAGTATAGTATAGTATAGGTCAATGTTGGCCGAAAGGTACAACTTAAGGCAACTGCGGCAAGTTGGTGATGAATCGATCGCGGAATACGTGACGGAGTTAAAGAAATAGGCTAAATATTCCGAATTCAACACCACATTAGATGAAAATCTCCGGGACCAGTTGGTATGTGGGCTGAAAAATGAAGTGATACGGCAAAGATTGTTTTCAGAAGAAAACATCTCATATAATCGAGCAAAAGCTTTGTCATTTTTATTGGAGGCTGTCGAGCACGATGCGTACCCTGTAGAACGCAATGCGCTCCCAGAAAAATTACACAAGTTATCTTTAAATGATTGTCCAATTTGCGGTGATCAAAGACACAAAGCTAACTGCGTTTATAAGGATTACGTGTGCAGTTGGTGTCAAGAGATCGGCCACTTGAGGAGGATGTGTCCTAAAAGAAAGCATTCACGGGCTGAGTTGGCGGAATCGGCCGGTAGTTGTTATAATTCAAGATTACGCGGCGGGCGCATGAGGCTCAAAAGTGATCCACTTAAATTGTGGTGCATGATCACAATTGGACATTCAAACACGCTGCATTTGCACTCAATATTTTATTTTTATTTTTATTTTATTTATTCGGTATACATAACATGTTACAATCAACAAAGTACTAACTTATAATAATTGAGGAATCGATCAAAATTGCAACACTTAACATGCATACACAAAAAATTCCGTAATATAAAACAAAGGACAATATATCGATATTAACTGTTACATTGCATTAAATTAAATTCATTCAAATAAAAACAAATTGAATACTATAGATTAGATAAAATTACTTACAATTGATTTAAATATATGTACTACATATATTACATTTATGAAATTATATTACATTACAATAAAAACAGAGCATTAGCAAATCAATTAAATAAGATATTATCAAGTACATATTTAATTAAATAAATAAGGTTAAAAAAAAAACTTATTATATTAAAGCGCTTGGCCTACGATTTCTAGAACACATTTTTTAAATTGATTCGGATTGAGACTAAACAAATCCACATTCTTATGCACACCAACTAACTCATTATAAGCACGACACATCCTGACTATTGGATTGTAATAGGAAGTATTGTTAGTGAATACTTGAAGCACAAAAAATTTAGGACTACGAGACTTGTATCTAATATTAAAATAGAACAATATTGCATATATTCTGTGTTATAAAGATAAAACAATGCTTTTGATACTTCTATAAAGAACACAAATAGTTCAAAATCAAATAAAATATGCCTCTGCAACACTTTTTATCCGTAAAACTGTAAAAACATTTTTCCCAATAATCACGGTTTGTCGTGAATGTTATTTACGTAATCGCCATTTTGTTATGAAAAAGGACAACAAATGGATACCCCGTGACGTATCCACGTGACTCCGTTATTAAGCGATATATTAGTTCAACTCGACCGATTTTGTTGATGTCATTTTCTCCTAGGCTTTGTCCCGACTCCCGATCCTAGTTAGGGTACGCTTGACCATGAACCTGGATGCGGCAAGTTTGGGTAAATTACATTGGAGCGACTACCATCTGGCCTCCGTAACCCTTGAACAGGGGAGTCAGATAATTTTTTGGATCATGGCTACACATCCATCATTATCTGACTGTGTAGGTTTCCTCACGATGTTTTCCATCACCATTGAGCAAATGGTATTAATCCTTACATAGATTACGAAAAATCCATAGGTACGTGCTGGGATTTGAACTCAGCCCCAGATTTAAATCACTGAACTACCACCGCTATACCGGTTTTGCTGGTGTGCTTTTTTGGAACCGATTTGGAAAAAATAGTTTTTGATTGTGTAGCAGCACAATAAGAACACAACACAGAATTTAATTCATTTATTCAAATGACGCAACACCGTCCCGGAAATAATGATGTTGACTAGATTCTTTGGCTACATAGCTCTGAAAAGAGCTTTCGTGCGAAACACCGCTTCACTCTCGGCTATCACTGCAGCTTCACGATCACCGCATCTCTTCAAGCAGCCACCGCTCGCTGTGCATCGAAGAGGACTCCACACGTCTGCACCGTAGGTGTCGCCCGGCGAAATGGGCGAGCGCCCATAAGCGTAAGAAAATACTTCCCGATTGGTTTTATTTATAATTAAACCTGCAGCAAGGATTCAATTCAATTCCATTCATTTATTGCAGACCATAATGGAGATACAAAGGTGGTAATATTATTTACAGATAAAAAGTGCATTATGGACCCTGTAGTGTAGGGTATCGCAATTGGAAGAGGAGAGGACGTCTTGTTCATAATTCCTTATTGTGATATAATTTGTTATATCCAATGAATGATCGTCACTGTATGAAGGAATAATAAAAAAAACTTAAGATTCATATGCGGAGTGTTACTATTTATGTTAAAGCAGGAAAATCTTTAATTGGCCTTGTTAGTAGCATATTAAGTGTTATCTATAGTTTGAATTGCAACGCTACACTGTTTGTTTCCAAATAAATAAACCAATAGTTGAACAGCGCTACCTATCTACCGTAGCGATGTAATTACCCATCACATCTTACATAATGATCAAATAGTATCCTAAGTGGCGTTTATTGCAACTTTTCCTTTGACATTTAAAAATTTTATATGTTACCTATTACTTGAAATATTTAACACCTTGAATTAGGTATCGCCTAGTATTGAAAAAGACCTACTCCAAATACCTAGTCCGATATTTATGCCTCACTCTCTAATTCTGATGATGGCTGAAATGGAGAAATTCACGGCCGTAAAACTTTAAAACAAAACTTATTAGTCTGTGAAAACAAGATTTTGATGTTTTTCTTATTTACACTGGTTATTTTTGTGGAATTCTGAATTAAAATTCATCAAACTTTTTACCAGTCAACGGGACGGGATTCCATTCCGGGTATTTAAAAAAATCCCGAGTCATTTCATAGAGTTTGGAAATATAGAATAATATAGGGCAGATTTTCAACGACGAGAAGGGAAATCTTATTTCAGCTAAATAATTAATAAACTTGTGTTGGATAAAATTATAGCTGAAGCTCAAAATACGTGCACATTATACAAATATCGAATACCTATCAACAGAACACACGTGAAAGACAAACGAAAAGAAACACCATGGAGACGCCTCGTATTCAAAACAAACTTAAGTTGTTGTTCGAAAAAATATCAGAACCGGGCTATGTGATGGCCAATTTTTACGCAGACAGTCTTATTGATAAACTATCAAATGATCCCGACACTGGTAAGTAGCAGTTTTCAATTACTACCTATTTTATGTTTTGTTGTTGTAAACCTTAACACATGTTTATAAATAGTTTTTTTGTTACTACTTAGTGAGATAAAATGCACTGTTATAAAATTAACCAATCTATACTACAATATATACTTTCTAATGTCTATGTAGTTCATATTTTGTTCTTAAACTTCTGCGCAAAATTTGTGTAATCAAACTTAACCTAAAAAGTTATTTGAAGATGAATATAACTATATTTTCGATACAAAATCTACTATGAAAATTTTGTTTGTTTAAATTTGGTAATATAAAACAGCTCTTGCTTGACTTTTGAGTGCATGGAACATAGCACATCATATAAAGTTGAATGTTAATTATGAATCTTCATACAACTTGTAAGGATGCCCACAATACACTTTTGTAACAATAAAAACAATTCAACGGAAAAAAGATAAAATCATTTGACAAATTCAATCACCATTCGTTAGAAACAAAGAACCAACAGCAATTTTTAATATTTTTGTTCCAGATTCTGCATACCTGACAACAATGCCTCAGTTCTCAGATTTATTAATAGAAGCTTTCAATAACATAGGAACATGTCACATTTCTGTTAAAGTTTTTCTCACCAGGTTATTTGGTATTGCTTGTCGTAAAGAAATAAATTTTGCTATTATTGTTTGTAAAAGGGGAAATATACTGGCAGAATTCTTCCATGAAATAGACTCTCCAAGTATGAATCCTAGTTTGAGAGTAGCATACATGGAGGTGGCCTTGGCTCTTGTGTCACACTCGTCTGGCACAAACTGGATGTTGCGGTTTGGGTTCTGGAGGAAAGTACTTAGTTTCAAAGCAAACAGTGTGACAATTTTTGTTGTTCGCTTAATGTATAAGTTTGCCTCAGACTTCTTATGGAAACTGAATGACTTGGATGATGAGGTGCACATAAAAGAAGTTATGGATTTTATATGGAAACCCATAGAGGATTTCGACTTGTTGAATATGGTTTCATTTACAATGGATCAAGGAAGAGAAGTTGAAATTTGTAACACAGTTGAACCTATATTGCAAATATTCCTAAGTGTGCTAAATCGAAAGGAGAGGTTTCATAAACCTAATTTGATACTGAGTCTATTACTAAAAGAACAAGGGCTGGTCAGCAAGCTGTATATATTATTTGAAAAAATGCGGGGAGATAATATTCTATTAACAATTTCGAAACTGTTGAATTTTGTTGTTATATTAAGAGTATTTCAGACCAAACCATGTGGTCCTGATGTGGTCTATACAGGAGATGATTTTATAGAATTAAAGGTTATTTACTTCAATATCATGCAGAACTTTTTGCAGAGGCACAATGTTACTGCTGCTCTAGATAACTCCTTTATGTGCTTTTTGGTCTGGTCAACAGTTTGTAAAGACATGAAAGTGGAGTTGGATTACAATGGAAGAAAAGTAGAATTGAAATATCAAATGCTATTTATTTGTCTTGTACCACTGTTTGTTTATATCAATTATGACTCAACTGAAGGGAAACGTATTGAAGATGAGGCAATCAATGAGTTTATGGCTATGTTATTGAATAAAGCTTGCGAGCATACTGCCCGAATGGCATATGCTATACGAGATCTGATGGGAGTAACAAATGCATTGTCATTGATTACCTACAGTTTAAAAAAGATGACATGTCTGCAAGGGCACATGAATGATGATCAGGCAAACTTCATTTTCCAAGCACTGTTTTTCGTCTTAAGGAGTTACTGCTACTCCAAAACAGGTGATGCTTCTGCAGCGGAAAATTTAGAGGACAGTGAGCAAAAAGTAGCTGTAATGATGTATGTAATAGATGCAATTCTTGGCATTATCAAAAATCATAATATCCAATGGCATGAAGCATTAGAAGTGTTATGTTTGAATACAGTTGTACATGATATATTGACTAAGAAGGCTAATTTATCATGCAAGGTTAGTTTCTGAACTATTTATGGCAGTATGATGAAAAAGATGAAAAATAATTAAATATCAGTATTGCTAGGCAAAGTGTATAGTCTCAATCGCATTTTAGCGACAGTTTCCAATAATTGTGACATAAAACGGGCACACCGAAATAATTTTAATGACTTAACTCTGTTGCAAAGTACATTATTATACAACTATTATAAAACTCAAAGGTGACTGACTGACTGACATAGTGATCTATCAAGGCACAGCTCAAACCACAGGACGGATCGGGCTGAAATTTGGCGTGTATGTACATGTTATGATCTAGGCATCCGCTAAGAAAGGATTTTGATCAATTCTCCCCCCAAGGGGAATGAAAGTTTGTATGAAACTTTGTCAATTTTAAACCGATCAGGCTGAGACTTTGCATAAGAAGAATCATAGATGAATGTCATTGTGTCTAATACAAGCCTGAGAACAAAAACTGTAGTCTACACTTCAGCTCTACACCGAAGCGAAGCGAGGGTGGGCCGCTAGTTATAATATAATTATAATTATGACATATTATGTTTATACTTTTTGCTTTTAGTTTGTTGTGGCAGCAATCAATGTCATGACAGTCACTGTACGAAAATTTCTACCGCCCAACCTCTCCTTGCTAATGGAAGCAAAGCCAGGATCTGCCATGCATGAAATTGGCAAGCTGATATACATGAAGATGCACGACATGCACTGGGAAGTGAGGGACTCTGCATTAGAACTGCTGCATGTTTGTACTGAAATTGCATATATAAGTGAGTTGATTATTTCTAATTATAATGAACCTGCTTAATATTTCCTGCCACACTTCAAAGTATTATTTCCACTGATGATTGAATCATGTATACAGAAAAACACAAGAATATCAATCTTTCAGAAATTTGTTATTGGTTGATGTGGTAGGAAGGATGGGAATGAAATTATTTTACAAAACACTGCAAATATATAGGTATCATTAGTTTATATATCTATATATTTTATTTTTATAATTATGTGGCTAATAAGCATATTATGATCTGCCTGATAGCAAGCCACATAACCTGTAGTGGCTAAGAATACCAATAGATGAGTTGCATAGATATGAGATGCTCGATGGTGCATTCGGCTACGGTCGTTGAAGTTAGCAACTTTCGCGCTGGTCGGTCATTGGATAGGTGACCAAACATTTATTACCTCTGGCTCTTCCGTGTTTAGAAAGGCACGTTAAGCCGTTGGGCCCGGCTGCATCTGCAGTCGTTAGCACCCACAAATCCGCACTGGGCCTGCCTATTCCACCCATGGCCTGTGATTTAACAGTGGGGACATTAAATAAATATAAATAAATAAATATTTCCGACACACTTATTAGCCTAGCCCCAAAGTAAGCACTGTAATAAAAAAAATACATATAGAGTACTTATATAAGAATATTTATATAGAAATACATATTAAACATCCACCCTCCCCGCTTATGAACATCGCGCTTTATAGTAGGGGAGCCCAAGCGGGGATTTTTGGATTTACTCGAGCGCGGCAGAATAACATATGGGGAGCAACCTTGCACCTAGTTAAGTACTCCCACCATACTTGAGCTAGGGCAGCAAAAGCAAAATTTCACCGTTCGTTGAAATTTTGCTTTTGCTGCCCTAGACGTTCGGCCCTATATAGAGGGCTCTTGTATGGTGGGAGTACTAAACAAGGTGCAAGGTTGCTCCTCATATGTTATTCTGCCGCGCTTGAGTAAATCCAAAAATCCCTGCTTGGGCTCCCCTACTATTAGACAGTCCCTATTTGTCGACCTTATTGGACAATAGTACCAGTTGACTGGTCATTACGGCTTGTGAATTAACTTTTCTCTATTTTGTTTTTCACCACCCTATTTTCTTGTATACCTACTATTATCTTTACTATCCTTTTATGCTTTCTCTTACCGACTTCTGCCCGCGCCCCTGGCTGTATCAAATAGCAGCCTCGAGTACGGACAGTATATTATTAAATACGTTAATATTTGAATAAGAATAAGCTATGTTTCAATTTTTTTAAGCATTTAACTGCTAGATGTATAAATATAAAGAAGTTTTTACAAGAAAAAAAAATTCACGCGGACCAGGCAGCGGACGGTACTCGAACCCGTACCCTTGGCAATCCGGGCGAATGCAATAACCAATTATGCTACCATGGCCCTGATGGAGAAATTTTCATAGCCTTAAGCTGCAAGGCAAGGTTTTTTTTCTAGTAAAAACTTCTTAAGAATAAGCTAGTTATAAGACATATGGTAAAATAATTGAATATAAATAATATGAAAAAAAAACATCCATGACTGGAGTACAAACCACTCTGCCATGGAGCTCGTCAAATAGTATTTTAATAGGCTGATAGGGATAGATTGTTGCACAATGAGGGCTACCGTTTTCTGCCTCACCAGATGGCGCCACTGTTGAGTGAGGTCCTAAATTGTAACTTTTAAAGTTTATTAATACGCACATGAAATCAAAGGTTACATTTAGATCGTATTTTAACACAAAAGAACCATATCCTAAACATAATAGGCCATGCCACAGTGACGCGCAGTTCCGTTTTATTCGGAAAAAATGGGATCATAATCATTTTTCTAAGTTCAAATTTTTAATAGCTGACATTCATTGCCACATAATTCATATTTGCCATAATTAAGCCGAATTGTTACCAATTATTCACAACATTATTTTAATTAGAAATAAACCCGCGTAGTCGACCAACAAGCAATAACATTTGACATTTCGGAGACCTCACGCTACACTAGCGCCTCTAGCGGCGGATTCATACGCGATAGCCCGCCCTCATTGCTTCATTTACCACATTATGGATTCAATATTTTATCCATTCGAATGTCCGTTAGAATTCCCGCCTATCAAGAAGCAGATAACGGAGAACAATCTGATAAACCTGGCTGTGACAGTGGCGTTTAACGACCACGAGCCGTACGTGCAGGTTTCCGCGTTCCGCTGCGTCGGCGCCGCCATCCGCGTCTGCTCCATGTGGGATCTCATGAAAACCGAACATCCTAACTTGCTGGTGAGTGAAATCTCATTTTTTGAATTGAAACGTCTTTTAGGATGGGGGTGTAATTAAGAAAAATGCTATGGAAAAGATGAAATAGAAGTGCGTTACGAGCGTCACACGGCTATAATTTTATATATTACTAGCTGACCCAGCGAACTTCGTACCGCCCTAAAAAAATAGGGGTTGTCCAGCGGACGAAATTGTGAATCTAAACCATTCTCAGATCCCCTTGAACACACACAAAAAATTTCATCAAAATCGGTCCAGTCGTTTAAGAGAAGTTCAGTGACATACACACTCACAGAAGAATTATATATATAAAGACTAGCTGTCCCAGCGAACTTCGTACCGCCATAAAAAAATAGGGGTTGGTGGTAGAAGGGTAAAGATTTAAGGTTGTATGTATTTTTGTATGATGTATCATAAAAATTAAAAAAAAATATATATCTAAAATTAATAAAAATGGAGGGGGCACATTTATTTAGGGGGATGAAAAATAGATTACAACCGATTCTCAGACCTACCCAATATGCACACAAAATTTCACGAAAATCGGTCGAGCCGTTTCGGAGGAGTTTAACCACAAACACCGGGACACGAGAATTTTATATATTAGATTAAAAAAAAATTAGGGGGGGGGGGGTACCCTGCACATTTAGGGGGATGAAAAATAGATTACATCCGAATCTCAGACCTACCCAATATGCACACAAAATTTCAGAAAATCGGTCGAGCCGTTTCGGAGGAGTTTAACCACAAACACCGCGACACGAGAATTTTATATATTAGAAGAGTGTGTGTGGGATGCGTGCGCAGCTCTTCCCGACGAGCATGAAACGCTACGAGCGTTACACGCGACAATATAAATACATGATAATACTACTAATACTAATGTTAGGTTATTTAAGAAGTTTCACTTCAGATGTGTGCATACAATTTTTATTTATATAGTAGCGGCCGCCCGGACTTTGTTAGCGTTAACTGTAGTTTTATGAGAATCCTTCAGGTACGTCACATTATTTGGGATAAACAGTATCCGGGCTCAATCCAGATCATAATCTAAATGCGTATCAAATTTCATCCAAATCCATTCAGTAGTTTTTGTGTGATTAAGTAACAATGTAACAATTTTAGTTACCACCGACTTTTTTCAGGGTTTACATGAGACTCAAGATTAAAAGATTCTATATTCAGGGCGCCGTAATACTATTATTTGAGGGAGATAAATAAAAATGTCAAGAACCGCAGTGAACAAGATATATATTGTTAATATTCAGATCTTATTTCATCATACTTAACAAAATTAATACTATTTATAGACAACTTTATAAATATACAGCTTTTACAACCTCAAAGATTTTAACTTCAGTGATGTTCATACATTCAAGAACATGTGTAAATGCAGAAATATTTATTTAAACATTTTATATAAACATTTGGTTTTGGAAAATAACAAACAATATGTAATGAAATTTGAATTCTTCTTATAGTGGCTTTATAGTTTACTAATATAAATACTTTATTACGTTAAACAGAAATTTTGTTCTTCGGAGTATGCACCGGTTAAATATTGAGAAGGTATAAGTTTTACTTAGCTTTAAGACCACGGGAACATCAAGGTGACTCAAATGTCCTCAGGAATGAATCAGGACGTGCTGTCATCACATGAACCCGTCTACTTTCGATCAAGAATGCTTCACAGGCTCATTTATATTTATATATATTTCCAAAGAAATCCCAACAAAGGATTAAGTAATTGTGATTATCGTATACTGTTTTTTAATTAGCCACTTCAAAGGACCTAGAAACAATTACACATTTTTCTATAGTTCAATAAAAAAACCTAACTTGACCTACAGCCTAAACAGTTAGTTATATTGGACTTACCCGTTAATCCGGGGAAAATATTTTAATTAATTATGCACTGACTATACTTTCCAGTCACTGTGCAATTAACTAGATGTTCAAGTGTTCGGTTCGCAGACAAAAGAGAGTGAAATCGTCTGCGCAAAGCTATTTATAGTGGCCTAGGATCACGTGACGGCGTCCTAGCAAATTTCTCTCAAATCACCATATTTGGTGCGAGGAATTGACAGGACCGGTTAATACGGCTACGCCCATCTCCCTCCAAGAAACTGCTTCCTGAACAATAGCTAATCACGTCATCAATACGTGTAATTTCATTTAACACTATTAAATACAACTCCATCTATCTCATCATTCAAATACAACTATCATATTTTTTTTTTATAATATATATTCTGTGCTTCTTTAAAACCAATTACATTGTTAGATGATGGATACGTATGGTGATAGATGGCGCTTTGATTAGTAATATTTCTACAACTTAATATTCTAAAATTATATTGCTACAACAAATATACAAACTTTCACATATTATGATAGTAGGAAGTCCAAACAGATGACTCCATCTCATCGATTGTTAAGTGATGATGGAGTCCAGAAGCGAAGATTAGCAGTTTTATCTGCCTTGGTCATATTTTTTTTGTGAAAATGCCCAAACAACAAGCCCAATGGTCCTAAATACTATGAATCTTTCACATGTTTCGTAGTGTAATATGTCTTGAGATTTAGGCAGAAAACATGCAAATAAATTTTAAATTATGTTGACAAGATATTGGTGTCGATTCTAGCATGACTCTCTAAACCTAAACTTGAATTTGACAGCAGTATATCCTTGTCATTCTCTATACATAATGAAAAGGAGAGACTGATGTTAAATTTAGTTTTAAGTTTACAGAATCAGGCCAGAATCGACACCAATAGGTCTCAGTCAAATAAATACTTGTTATCACTAATAGGTTACTCTACACTGAGTGGCATTATTCAAATTTGGTTTTTCAGTCATTCCGTTTCACTTCTCTTTTTCCTCGTAATATTTATTTCGTAACTAGTTGATATTTTGCTATCTTTTGCAGGAAGACTTAGTGACTGTACTTCGTAATAACCAAGAAGGCATCGTCAGGAAAGAGGTTTGCAATGTCCTCTGCGAGATATATCAAAACGTAAAACTCACGTCTTACTTCAAACAAATCCTTTACGATAACATGGCATCGACGGCGATGTGTGACTTCCATTGGGAAGTTCAAATTAGTGCCTTAAAGTTCTGGAAGATGGTCATACAATCGCACTTGACTGATCACGGGATGCTAGATGGCGAGTTTCCACAAGTGACATTTTCAAGAGAATCTCGCAAAATCGTCACTCTGAACGAAGTCGAAATAAAAAAGATTTTACGAAAGGTACTTCACGAATTATCGGCAGTGGGTTGTCTGACTGTTCTCCTCAAACTGATACACGACGACAATGAGGTTGAAGTCATGGAAACCGCTCTGGCCGTGGCGCAAGAACTATTCGTGATCCTCGAAAAATATAACATGTCAGAAAAAATGGCGTTCTCAGAGGGCGATCCCAAGTCTGTAGCCGACTTGGTGTGTGATGTAAAAACTGAGCGTTACGAAAATGGAGAGCCAATGGAAGCTGAAACTGCAACCATAGCTGAGAATGTTATAGAGGGAATTCTTAATGTAGACGACATGAATCTGCTGGCAGATATGTACAAGAAACAGATGCAATTGCATAGTGAAAACATTAGTTGTGAAGATTCACCTAAAATAAAATTATTGAAATCTGCCTCTCCATCTCTATTTGTAAACTTTATGAGTGGTAATAATTGTAAGACAATTATTCAGCAAAAAAGAGAATGGAATGATGGAATAAGGAATGTGTCCTCAATTCTAGATGATGTTCTTGGTATATATGAAGTCAATGAAGAGGTTAATTCCTTAGATTGTTACTGATGTTATGAGTTTGTTGTTTTAAAATTGTTGGTGCTTGGATAGCATAGCCATAATTCGAAATGCTAATTGATGCAATTCTCATTTTTACCATAATTTTATTGTAAAATGTGTATTGATTGTAATAGGGATGATGGCAAACTGTTAATTCTTCCTCTATCAGATAGTTTATCAAAAAGTATAGGAAACATAGTGATAACATGTTTTCGGAGGGTTAAACGCTTTGTTACGTAACGCGTTACGGCGTCAGTCCGTCTGGTTTACCTTCCTCTTTAATAGGTACCTGAAGTTATCACATCTGTGGTGAGTCCCGAGACGCACACGCTTCTTTTTTCTAACATAATGAAAACATTACAGAGATATATTGTTTTGAAATGTCGCGTGACGTCACGTCTTGGTACATTGTTTACTTTGCAGTGCCGTCACAAGCCCCTTCTCCCAAATTTGGTCGCGCTTTATCTTTTTAAGTTTTTTTGTTGATTGACAGAAGAAAAATATGTTACCATTATTTTTCGATAATGTATCTGACGGACTATTAAGAATTTCATTTAATTTATGGCGTCATTGTCTCTTTTGTTATTAATAAATATTGTGACTGAGATTATTAAAATGCTAGATTACTAGATAAACTAGTAAGACTTTAACCCAATATTTTATGATGGACTCTGGATAATTCAAAATGATGTGATATTTTTCATTCCTTTGTAGATGAGATAGCAGACTTGTATATATAAAAATTTACGGGCCACAATAATAGAGAACATGCATGTAATTCAAATGAGCCTCATTTTATATTTTTATATAAAGTATTACATACTTTTAAGTTGTCCCTCCCATCAATATTTTTTACTAAAAAAAAATACGAGCAATAAATTGATGATTTAAATTTGCGGGTTCGAATATTTAGAATAATATAACAAACGGTTCATATGTATCGTGACGTCACCTCCAAGCGTACGAAAGTAGTGCGCGTTTAAATTGCCCATGCAGTGGCTATTTTTAACATTTTTTAGACACTACTATTTTTTCAAAGTAGATTTTTTATACTGTATATAGATGTAAACTACTATATAAAATTAAAAGAAAATCATGCATATTCCCTATTGTTCTTTGAGATTACTATGAATTAAATTTTGTAGACAGAACTGCAAACTGTTATTTTATATACCTGCCTTTGTACTCTAGGTAATAACCGAGAATAAAATGTAAAATATGTTTATATTGTAAGTATAATGGCGTAGTGTTATTTTTTTTTTGTTAAAATACTAAGAAAGTTATTAAAAACATTGTAAATAATTTATTTTCTTCATTTTAACCTACTAATGAATTAATAATGATCCCACTCTTCACTTATAATTTTATCCATCATCACCAAAGGATTTAACAATAACAGGAATAGCCTCAACAGCCCAGTGTACGGGCTATTAACCCTGGCCTCACCAACATTGCTAGATTCTAACGAGCTGAGCATAATAAATTGTTGGTCATAGTTTAGCATAATGGTAGTCTTTACTTTTTTTAAAAACAAGATTTCAGTTTTTACTGACAATAAGTTGTGCTACTGTAGTATACTGTTTTGTTGAAATTTTAAATAATAGTCAACATGTCCTCTGAAGTTTGACCGCTATGGACTAGATTGTGGGACCAGCCGACCCATTCGCTAACTTTTTTGACTTTTATAGTGTGTAATTAAAGAGAAAATTGCATATCCATCAATGCTTTTCAGGACAAGTATCTTAGAGGTGTTATAATAAAGCAGTGGGGTATCACTAAATAGCTCAGTGACTATCACTTCCAACTGTCAAAAGCAGTTAAAAATAAGCCTGCAGAAGTAAATAGCTGTTTGAAACTGATAAGAAAAATAGTGCTGGTATTGTGATTTTATCAGTTAATCTTTCCACTCTTGGTAATACAATATCAGAGGATCATGAGTGACTAATGAAATTACTAATGTCAGTTGGTGTGAACTACATTGTATAATGAAATGTGCAAAAGTAATCAATACAATTAATTTTTTATACTTTAATACCCTAAATACACTAATTATAAACTAAATAAAACTATTCAATCTCTATAATAGCTCCAACTTTGGTTAATGCTTCTTTAAGTTTTTCTGCTTCATCTTTAGAAATGTCAGCTTTTACAACTGTGGGCACACTCTCAACAAATTTCTTCGCTTGAACAAGATTGAAACCTTCTAAGAGACCTTTGACTTCTTTAATTAATGCAACTTTTTGTTTATCATCAAACTTTGTCATCTTTACCTGTGGAAGATGTAAAAAAGACATTTAAACCATATAAATTGAGCAGAACATATATTAAACCAAAGTAAAGAATAAAAAAGGGGAGACAGTAAAAATTCAAACTAAAACATACGGTGAAACTAGTTTTCACAGTTTTTGGTGCGGCTTCCTCTTCTTCTTGGGCCGCAGGGGCTCCAGCACCCATAGCAAATCCACCAATGGGCATAACAGGAGCATCGGGTAGATTCAGCCGTTTTTTCAATATTTGACTTAACTCTGACACCTCCAGAAGGTTAAGGTTTGTAATTTCTTGTACTATTTTCTCAATTTTTGGCGACACTGGTTTATCAACACCTTCTGGCACGGGTATTGTCAACGGAGCTGCAGCTTGAGAAACTTCTTGCCGTAGTAACGCACTGAAAGAAAATATTTTAGTTGAAGAGGTTAGTTAGCATAACCTAAATACAAAATTGTAATTAAAATCGGAACAAACCATCGTGAAAAGGATCGCCACTGACTGTTATATGCTATGTTTTTCATTAATTTCAAAGAGTTCATATTGAAAATTATGTATTTTTTCAAATTTATGATATTTTTTTAGAACTTAGCACAAATGAGTGAAAAAGCGCACAGACTGAAAAAAAAACTTCAAGTAGGGATGTCAATAATTATCGATTGCCATCTTAATCAATAATTTTTTAAATTGATATCTTATAATACGTTAATCGAAAAAGGTAAAAGCACATTGGTTTCTATTTTGGCATGATTCTCTTAACTTAAAACTAAATTTAAGATCTCTTCTTGTCATTGTGTACAGAAAATAAAAAGGATACACTGGTTTCAAATCTGGCATGATTCTCTAAACAAAATTTAATATCAGGCTCTCCCTTTTCATTCTGTATAGAGAATGACAAAGATATACTGTTGTCAATTTTAAGTTTTAGATTTAGATACTTATGCTTGAATCGACATCACTTTTGTCAAATTTAGGTTAAGATTTAGAGAATCATGGCACAATTGACACCATTATTATGCCAGCTAAAAAAACTCTAGAAATTCACTTACAATACATAATATGTGAAAAAAAATATCAAATGATCGCCCTATCCGATAAAGGAATAGATGATAAATTAAATGATCTATCGTTCGTAATGGCACATCTCTACTCTCATTTTTTAAATTTTCCTGTATGAGGAAAATGATTTTAAATCCATACAGTCGACAAAATATATAAAACATCGGTCTCATTCTGGTGCTTAATATCTGTCTCAAGATACACCAACACGAACAAAATCATACCTGAAACCTGTCCAAAAGGTACATTGGAGGATCCAGGGAGCTCCGTAAAATGAGCGTGCAGTCTAAATAATAAAAGGCATTATTTAAACATTGAAAATCACCTTTAAGCCACAATACATAAGGTCTTAATTAAAACGCATGCGTTAAAGAGTTATGACAGTCTGATATGTAAGCTCGTAAAATTTTACGACTTATTGCTATATGCGGAAGAATATATCACTTATTCCTTTGACTCTACGCGCAATTCTGAATGCGCTGTTAGCAATATAGCAGGTACGGACCGCGAAGAAAGGGTATATTACCGACCATGCATTTGAATATCACAAATATTTTCTATTAAATCAGTTTATAGTAAGTATTAAAACAAAATTTGTTGCAAATGCGTTAAATTAACAAATATTGATTAGATACCGGTCGAAAAAACGACGTTTTACATACTATAAGTATTTATTTCGCATTTTGTCACGGAGCTCAGCGGCATGTTTACTTTTCACGGTCCGTGCGAGACTGTGAACCAAGAAGTGCTTGAGTCGTGTTCAAGCACTTCTTGATAGGGACACATTTTGAGAGCACGTGGTGTATCTAGGGTATTTAATATCGTTGTGTATAGATAATGACAAGGAGGATTAGATAATCATGCTAGAATTTACACTAATATATTATTAGGTTACATAAAAATTGCAGGTAACGATTTATAGGTCCTCACCATTTCACCAATAACTTTCTTTCTTTTCTTCATCACATTTTCATAAGAATGAAAAGTATGTTTATTAAGTTTAGAGAATCATATCAAAATCAGCAGTATACTATTAGTTTCAGTAAAGGCAGAATTATATTTATCTTACGTAATGGATATTGCGAAATAAAATTGGTGTAATTTTTTGTTATAACCGTCTGCACAACTGAAGAATTAGTGGATTCTTTAAAATATACGCTATTCCCGTCAAGTGGACGTGAGAACTTTATTGTAGTGTTGACTTCCTCACAGAAGCTTATCGAGAAACTGACTCGACACATTTAGTGCCAAACACTCCAAGAAACATAAGCATGCATCATACCTACATTCTAATTTTAAAAAAGAATAACAAAGAAAACTGAAAACTAAGCTGTATGGGCATTGTTCCCTTTGCCTGCTAAAAAAAGGATAACTTGAAAATAAAATTGTCAAACAAAAAACACCAAAACAAAACTTTGGAGTTGTGAGTTCTGCCTAGGCATGTCGATTCATTTAAAAAAACATCGATCTTGGAATCGATTCAAATCAGACATACTAGAATCGATTCTTGTTTAAATTGAGCATTAAAAGATCGATTTTCGATTAATCGAGCCAATTTCAAACATGACTAATTGCCTAATAAAGATACAGGACATTATTGATGACCATTTACTGCAAATACAAGTAATTGGATAGAAGTATTATTAAATTAGTAAACATAATATCACGCCTATATTCCTTCGAAAGAATAGGTAGAGGTGGGAATCGAACCCAGGATCTTTTGCTCAGCAGTAGTGCTTGCGAAGTTGCGACCACTAAATTAATGTGGCAGTTTAAATTTCTAGTCTCGCCTAAGTACTTGTAAGTCGGTTAATAAATTAATTAAATTTTAAGTTTATAAAATTTTATTAAAGTTACATACAAATTTAACAAGAAATTATATTTCCCAGTATTTTAAGTCGAGTGACTTTAAGAAAATTAACTTATCTAATCGCTCAGGATCTAAACGACTCCTTTCGTCAGTAGCAATATTTCCCGCAACAGAAAAAAGCCTTTCACATGGAACAGATGTTCCAACTATGCAAAAGTATTTGTTAGCAATCGGCGTTATTGAGCTGTACAACGAATTTCTTTGGTGACACCAATATGCAATAGGAGCCGTCGTTTTAAAATCGACGACAGGCTGTGTTAAATAATGTTTCAATTCGTCTTGTAAACCTTGTCCTTCAGTTTCTGCTTGAAATAATTGTAGCTGATTTTTTACTAATGTATTATGGAATTCCCAAATGTTAGATTCTTCTGCTTCCTTCAGCTGGCATTCCAAATTATTCTCTGAATCTTCATTACTTAATTTATTCTGCAATTGCTTTTTTGAAGCTACAATCATACTATTAATTTTATCAATAGCTCTGGAGCATGCTAATCTGTCAGAAAAATGAATTTTCTTGAATCTTGGATCCAGTAGTGTGGTGATAGCTAACACATGTACTTGTTCCACTGTACCAAATCTCTTTTTTAATTCTTCCAATATTAAATTTTTGGTTGCAGCACCGACATCTGTTTCCGTCTTCATTGTACTGTATGTTTTCAAAAGACAGGAAACTATTGGTATAATTTTGCTTGACGTTACAAATTTCTCTACGGATATTTCTTTCGTCACAGCTTCCATAGGTTTTAAAATATTTATAAGATCTTTAATACCATCCAGTTGACTGGCTGTTAACATAGGTGGAGCTTTCGGGTAATTGAGTAATATCGGGGCAAGTAGCTCAGATAACTTTACAAACCGAACTAGCTGATAGTAAATTGAATTCCATCGTGTGCAAACTGACTGAATCAATTTGAGTGGTACTGCTATTTCATTTTGCGCTTTACGAAGAGCATCAGATACATTTACATTTTGTTTACAGTATCTAGTTATATCCTTTACAGTATTTAGTAACTGTTTGGCATTTTCAATACCAGCTTTTTCTTCAAAAGGTTTTTGAGCTACTAAATTCAAAGTGTGGGCGAAACACCATAAGTGTTTTTGTTTTCCAAATGCAATTGTTACGGCCTTGACGATATTCGCACCATTATCAGTAACAACTGCTGCAACTTTTTCTGGGGTTATACCCCATTTTTCAGTCATTTTTATTAATATTTGACATAAATAATCAGAATTATGGGGCTCAGTTAAATGGGACACACCAAAATTTATACTAATCAGCTCACTTTCATGTATAAAATGTCCAGTTAAACCCATGTAGCTTCTAGTATTATGTGTATCTGTCCATATATCCGTAGTTAAACATATTGACTCTACTTCTAAGAGCTTTTCTCTAAATTGCAAAGAAAGAACATCATATTTGTCATCTATCATTTGTGTAATTGTCTGCCGTGAAGGAAGCTTATATAAAGGCACTGCTGTTTTCATTAAGTATGTGAAACCTTCTTTTTCAACTGTATTTAATGGCAACGTATCCTTGCAAATCATTAACATGATAGCATTATTTAGTTGTCCATACTTCTTTCCGTTTACTGGAAAAAAAATCAAAAATATACATTATCACCGCTCATAAATATACCATGACCATAATCAGCAAAGTAGGTAATTCATTACATGGATAACAAAAATTCTCACCACTAAATGCTTTAATATTATCAACACATGAATCCATAGTTAGCTGATTAAGTTTTGAGTTTTTCAGTGATACTGATGATGAAGCTATACTTTCTAAGTCAGAATCATAGTACTCTTTTGAACTGGTTAAACTCAAAGCATCATTTATGCCAAATTTTTCCTTTGATGTCGACGTAGTAGCAATATCTTCATTTGTCTGAAAAGGATTATGTTTTTGTATTCTATTATTATTTCAAATTACAAAATAAATACAATAAAAGGATAAAAAATGCAAGAATATACAATTTCCAAACAAGCATGCATTAATAAAAAAGGAATAATTATGTTGTATTGTAAGGAAAAGGTACGGGTACACACTCCAGTTTTTTTTTTGTCGTCACCAATACCAATATCATCATTTGCCACCACCAGTTTTCGTTGACTTACGGACTTAATAGATGGATGTCTTCGTAGTAAATGGTTGCGTAAGTTTGTTGTATTCCCGCATGTTTTAACTTCGATATGACAATACTTGCATACGCCACTTGATCCCTTTTTTACAAAATGATACCATGTATCACTTTTAGTTGACATTTTAGGCTAAAAAGAATAACAATACTTTAACAAAAATGCAAACTGCAACGCAAACGCACATTTCTCGATAAATTGATTACAATCAATCTAATCACTTACTATTTTTCAAATTAAAATAAATGCTGTATGAATTTATGAATGAACACGATATTATTTATCCACAGTATATTTTTGCTATGTAAGCTCACTCAACTCACAAGATTATATAGGTTAGGTTTTTGACAGCCGGAATCAGCCGGATAGAAAAATAAAATGTTTTTTTTTTTTTTTTTACGTAAGTAACGCCACCTTTGGAAGCGTTCATAAATATTTATTACTCTATGACGCGTTCAAATTATTGACCAAGTACTACCAGTTGCTTTTGCGCCCGACAACAGCAAAAAATTAAAAAAACTACCGTCCGATTCGGAGGGTCCGATTTGGGAGGTTTGTGAATCGATTCATTGAATCGACGTAGGGTTCAAAATCGATCTGAAAAATCAATTATATTACTCTAAATAATCGATTTTTCGATTAATCGATTTTAAATCGACATGCCTAGTTCTGCCTGTTTCGTTCGCTGTGATTCTGCGTAAAACAGTTGTAATATTTCTCTTAGAAGCAGTGCTATCTAATATTGTATTTGTTTATACTTTTGTCTAGTTGGTACGCTAAGTCTAGCCATACGTCATTGAAGGCGGGTCAAGGTAAGTTTCATAGAGTATATGTAAGTTTACTCCAAACAGTAGTATTTTTAATATGGGAAGTTTGCTCACAGAAATTAACTTAAATTTTATTTAATAAAAATGTTAACTAATTTATCTTCACTAACTACTTGGCTTAAATGCTAGTTGTTGTTGTTGTTAAAAGAAATAGAACAGAACCAGCATTTTCTCGAATACCTCTATAAGTTCATTTATTTATTAAGAAATACAATTAAACGTTGATGACTTAGGAACGAATGCTCGTATTCATCAGACAAACATTTGCCCTACCGGGGTTTGAACCTGGGACAACTGAGCATGCAACCCCTTGAATACTGGCATACATTTGACGACCTCCGTGGCCGAGGGGTTTCTACGCCGGGTTTGTGACGCTTGAACGCTTAACGTATTTATTTATTTATTTCCATTTAGGAAACATACAGTTTTATACAATTCACTTAAGTAACACTTATAACTTTTCCATACACCAGTTAAGTTTCTACAGACTGAAACGTTCATACACTTACATAATTTACTTAAAGTTACGTACAATATTTAGAGTTATGTGAATAGAATAAACATGATTATCAAAATTTATGGTAAGAAAATAATTACAGAGTGTTAGGGTAAAACAACCTTATAGCATTCATTTCTAAATTGATTGTAAGAAAGACAAAATATATCCAATCCCCTGAAGTATTTATTATAGTTGTGACATGCTCTAGAAATGAAACTATCACACAGCAAACTTGGTCCTGCTGAATTGTATTACAAATGTGTTGTCAGACCTAGTTCTATTAGGACAATGGAAACTAATCCTCTGTAAAAGGAACGGCAAACTCTACAAGGTCATTAATAAGTTTGTAAAGAAATAATTGATTTCTAACAGTTCTGCGATGTTGCAAGGATGTATGTACCTGTAACTTTGTTTCACAATCATCAAAAATTAAGTTAACATTAATTCTGTTTTCTAAGTACTTTACAAATTTGTGTTGAATTCTTTCAATAGCATTAATGTATGTATTATACTGTGAATTCCATACACAAGAGGCATATTCAAGGTGTGGTCTCACAAATGCATTATAAAGTATTATTAAAATAGATGCGCAACGGAATTACTTTCCAATACGCATGATGAAACCTAGCATTCTATATGATTTTGCAACAATTTTGCTAATATGGTTACTGAAAAGAAGTTTGTCATCAATGATTACCCCAGGGTCACTCATCTTGGTCTTCTTTGTGAGAATAGAATTAGTTAATTTATAGTTATATTCAATTGGCATTTTCTTCCGGGTAAAAGTAATTACTGCACATTTATCTGTGTTCAATTTAAGTGTGTTATAATTGCAATAGTTTTCCAAGTTGTTCAAATCTTGTTGTAACAATTTACAATCTTCTTTGGATTTGATCAACTTTATAATTTTCATATCATCTGCATAGAGCAGTAAGTTAGAATTGTGTATATAGTTCTTTATATCATTAATAAGCACTTTAAATAGAAGGGGACCAAGGTGAGAGCCCTGGGGCACACCTGAGGTTATGGGAACAGAAGTGGAACAGTAACCCTTTATTGCCACAGCCTGACCACGGTCTCGCAGATACGACGCCAACCATCGGAGAAGATCGCCATGAATACCAACTGCTTTTAGCTTTGAAATGAGTAAATAATGGGGCAGCTTGTCGAACGCTTTCGAGTATTCTGTTATCTTCCAACGCATTCCGGTAAAATAAGAGAGCTGTAAATCTTGTGGTACTTTCTGTCAATGCCTGGGTGGCCAGCAGTCAGGGAATTGTATAAGTCTTTCAAGATATCTGGAACTTGATCAGCGGGAATAACTATTTGAAGGGATTCACTCTCTGGATTAAATCGATATAGAACTCCTTGGTCCATAATAATCCCTCTTTCTGATTAACTTTGGGCGGCGACTTCATCGTTGCATTCTAGGTATTATATTACTTTTTCCAATTTTGGAATGGACATCTGTTTCTGACGTAGCTAGATGTCTACGTGAACAGATCGCAGATGACGGATCGGATACTGCAGTTTTCGCGAGCGATACTTGTCAGTATAAACTTGTCTTTTTAACGTGACTGCCAAGTTGTTGACCTTCCCTGGTGTATATTGGAAACGAATATCGAACGATTGAAGTTTCAACGCCCCTTGGACTAACCTACCGGTTGGCGATTTAAGAGATAGCAGTCACCGGAAGGGTTGATAGTCTCTTCCGATAATGACATTTTCTCCGTCTACTTCTCATACTACAACGATCGCCTCGCTCTCAGTTGTGGAACATACTCCATTGTATAGACCAGAGTTCCCCAAACTTTTTTGTGTCGTAGACCCTTTGCCATGTTTTTCCGTGTTGGGTAGACCCCCTACTTACCTGATATTGATTTATTCGCTGACGTAGACCCCTTGTCATAGACCCCTAGGGGTCGATATAGACCACTTTGGGAATCACTGGTATAGACGGTACAACACGCACAAGGACGCAACGTGTCGGGTTTGCGGTGGACAAGCTTCTCTGGCTCTCTCTATGGCTGAAATAACTCAACTTCGGCGCCGTCATCTCGTTGGCGTTCTGGTGACGGTCGCGATGGAAAACCGGCCTGATACTATCGCTATGTCCGTCCGTCCGTTCGTAGCTTAGCTCAGCAGAGTCTTAATAATATCCCTAGTCGGTGCCCTGGACTTCGTCTGTGGAAATTACCCATTACTCATACAAATTTTCAACTTATAAATTTATTCATCCTCTTAAAAAGTAGAGTATTCTTTTCCAATATCAGGTGATCTTGAGATAGAGGTTCTCCATGCCAAAATTCAGCAATATCGGTTCAGGGGCTTAGCGTATTAGACAGACAGAGAAAATTTGATTTTATTATATTATTCTTGTACTACAGATAACAGTAAATATAGGAAGTTATTGAACAAAACGCGCGGTCAATGTTATATAATCTCGTAATAGAGACAAGAGGATAATTGCATTGTTAGCGACCTTGGTGGTGTCATCTATTGCGTCTGTCGGTATAGAGATTGCAGTTGCAAAGCCAAACAAACAGTTTATTCACATATTGATATAAGTTTCAAATCATATTGCTTATATCTGTCTGAGTAAGATAGATAAATCCGTAATATAGTTATATCCCTAGGGATATTATTATACACCGTAACATAGTTATACGAAAGGATACATTACTATCTTACTAGGAATATAATTATAAAGCGGTTCAAGTTTAGTGATGTAATTATATTACTGGATTCAGTTTAGTGAAATAATTATAGGAGCAGCAGATGTCATGATTCGACAAATCAGTACACATTTGACAATGACATTTCGGCCTCGCAATCGTTACGAATTCGATATTAGTTCGTGCTAACATCCATATTCTTAGTCGTTTCCTCGAGATTTTCTCCACTCGACTCAACCTCACTGGAGGAAATTCGTACGCTTAGACAACAAAAATATCCTTCACTTGAGATATTCCTCACTCGATTGGAGGTCGAGTCGAGGAATAAACTGTCAAACTCAAGGTAGTTCTCGACGTACCTCAAGGCTTCCTCGAGTGGTGTTTATGGTGTTTTCAAGTTGTTTTTATCGAGAATTATGTCTGATTTTGAGATTATTGACGAATTTGTGGATTTTATGGATTACGTATACGATTTATTTATTTATTCAGTAACACATACACGATGATGAACCATATAATTATCCGGCGCGACGGTATTTACGTGATGCCGCAAATCCTTTTAAGGTTTACGACAATGATTCGTTTCAAAGAAGATTTCGGTTTAGAAAAGATACAGTCATACAAGTAATATTTCCACTGCTAAGCATTATAGAAATAAAATCCTCCAAATGATGACGTCTCAATGTTGAGGAATTCTCAGGTTTGTTCAAGATACCAACTAGAATACCATTTTCGAGGTTATTTGGAGGTACTCCTTATGGAGCCCTCGAATGAGTTTGATTCGAGGAACGTTTGAGGACGCGATTAAGAATATGGGTGTAAGGGTACTGTTCTCGTTAAAATTCTTAACGCCGGGTACACATTGGGCGCTCGGCGTTGCGTTGAGCGCGCGTTGATTGCATACACACGCCGCGCTCGGCTGGGCGTTCGGCGAGCGTTTAGTAGGGTGTGTTTCTGGCAGTCCGAAAATGGATATCCAAGTGATTACTTGTGTGTGGCTCCTCTACCGTCACTATAAAAGACGGCGTATTTTTTTTTTACGTCTTTTTAGCGTCTTATTTTTTTTATAATCGGGACATTTCATGTCCCAAATAGCTGGTCGCTTTTGGATTTCATCAATAAAGAAATCTGTGTCAAAATGTTCGGTATCCATTTTTCCGTTGAACTGACGTCTACACTACACCAAAGCGCGCGATCAAATGTACAACAAAATGGCGGCCCAAGTATCTAGAAGCGCGCAGCTAACGCCCGTGCAACGCGCGATCATACGTAAAATATGAGAACGCGCGTTTGACGCACGCTTGACCAGAATCGCGCGCTTGCATGTGTACACTTCAATAGAACTCCTGGTTCTCGAAACGCGCGTTAGCAAAGCTAGGGGTGTCCACTCTGAAAAAACATCGATGTATTTTTTGATTCGATACATCGCAACTATACATCGATGTCAATCGATGTATCGGATGAAAACATCGATGTATTTCAAACATCGAGTACTTTTTCTTAAATTTAAAAAAAATTTGCTGTCTGTCAATAGAATATTAGAAATATACTTCAATCTTAGTTTGTTTCACAAAACCAAAGGTTATTAAATGTTTTTAAACATAGAAACTCGTAGTTATTTTTTATTGTCACTGCACTGACTCTTGCGCAGTGCTGCCAACATCGGAGCCAAATCAGAGAATTCGGAATGCTTTCATAACAGTAAGTAAAATTTTAGTGGTCAAACTTAAGTTTTTTGTTACTGATGTTAAACCAAAAAGAGGATATTATCACTACGTGGTCAAACTGTATTACCAATTCGATGTTTTTTT